CCCCCCCCCTGTGCCTGCCAGAGCCCCCCGCCTCCCCACCGCCCTCCCCGGGGATCCCCCCGGCTCCTAGCACACCGTAAGTGAACCATTAACAACCTCTAGCCCCCCTATTTTGGGGGTCTGGGCCCCCCCCCGTTGCCCACCCTGCCCTGTTTCTCCCAGGGCTCCAAGGGTGAAACCAGTGGCCAAAGGATCCACTTTAGACCTGGGGTTGAACTCGGTGAAAATCCAGTGCCAGAACGAAGCTGTTTACCAGTACCACGTTACCTTCAGGTATTGTGGTGGGCACGGGGGGGCAGGGCTGGGCTCTCAAGCCCCTCGGAAGGGTTGGGGTGCCCCCCCGGGTGGGGTTTTCCCTCCCTCCATCCCGGTAACCACTAGAGGGAGCGACCAGGAGGCAGCCGGAGCAAATGAGCTGGGGGGGGGGTTTCCCCACCTCCTGGGGGGGTCTCAGGGGGTGGTGAAGGGAGGGTTAAAGGGTTGGCTTGTCGGTGATGCCCCCCCCTGCCCTGGCAGCCCCGAGGTGGAGAGCAGGAGCACCCGTTTTGCCATGCTGAAGCAGCACCATGGGGTGACAGGGGATGTGACAGCTTTTGATGGCTCCATCCTCTACCTGCCCATCCAGCTCTCCCAGGTGAGGAGCAATTCCCCTCCCCTCCTTCCCTGTGTGTGGGGGGGATGAGCTGGTTCTGGATGATCTGGGGGGGGAAACATGAGGGTCTCCAGGTGGGACAACATCCCTCTTCTCCCCACAGCCCCTCAGCCTGAAGGCTCAGAGGCTGAGCACCAAGGAGGACATCACCATCACCATCCAGCTCACCAAGGTCCTGGAGCCCAGCTCCCCTCTCTGCATCCCCTTCTACAACACGGTTTTCAGGAGGTGAGGGATGGATGAGACCCTCCCCAAACTCCCAGGAGACCCTCCTCCTCCTCCCCTTGATCCCAGAGCCAACCCTGCTTTATTATTCCCTCCCAGGGTGATGAAACTCTTGGATCTGGAACTAATTGGGAGGAATTTTTTCGAGCCTGCCCAGGCCACTGTGTTGCAGCAGTACAGGTGGGTGCTGGGTGCTGTTCCCTCCTCCTCTGGGAGTCCCTGTCTCCCTGGCTGGAAATTCAGGAATCTTTGCCAACTCCTCTTAGCCTGACCTCACAGCTCCTGGTTTTTTGTAGTGTAATCCAGGGATTATTGAGCTGGAAACTGGCAGCCAGCTGGGAAGTAAATCCCTGTGTGTTTTGAGCACAGGGTGGTTGCCCAGCCCCTCTGGCAGAGCTGTGCTGGTGGCTCCACTTGGAATTCCCATTTCTATCCCCTTTTCCCTGAGCACAGGCTGCAGGTTTGGCCAGGATACTCTGTCTGCATCAGGAAGAAGGATGGTGGACTCTTCCTCTCCATTGACCCCATCCACAAAGTGGTCAGGAGTGATTCTGTCCTGAACGTCATGTAAGAGAAAGGGGGGAAGGAACCTGGAGAAGTTCCTTGGGGATTTAGGAGAGGAGGGTGGTTTCTCCAGCAGCTGCCTGCCCAAGGTTGGCTCTGGGTGGGGGGCAGTGCAGGCTGGTGGAGATGGGGAGATTGAGGTGGGATATGGGGAGGGAATTTTGGAGTGTGAGGGGTGGGAGACCCTGGAACAGGATTCCCAGGGAAGCTGTGGCTGCCCCATCCCTGGGGGTGTTGAAGGGCAGGTTGGATGGGGCTTGGAGCAGCCTGGGCTGGTGGGAGGTGTCCCTGCCCATGCAGGGGGTTGGAGCTGGATGGTTTTTAAGGTCCCTTCCCACCCAAACCACTTTGGGGTTTGATAATTCTGATTCTCCCAGCCCTGATTTTCTCCCCACTGAGAGGATGTTTGGCTCTGCTCCCTGCCCCAGGAAAGCTGGGGAGGGACTTGGGACAAGGGCATGGAGGGATGGGATGAGGGAGAATGGATTGAAACTGGGAGAGGGAGATGGAGGTTGGAGATGAGGAGGGAATTCTTTGGTGTGAGGGTGGTGAGAGCCTGGCCCAGGTTGGGCAGGGAAGCTGTGGCTGCCCCCTCCCTGGGGGTGTTGAAGGGCAGGTTGGATGGGGCTTCTTTGGGGGACACGTAGTTTCTCCGGGGGATGGAGCATCCTGGTGAGGCTCTGCTGTTCCCCCTCTCCCTGCCCCAGGCATTCCCTCTACAAGCAGAACCTCAGCAGCTTCCAGGATGAGTGCACCAAGCAGCTGGTGGGCAGCGTGGTCATTACCCGCTACAACAACCGCACCTACCGCATCGATGACATCGACTGGGACAAGAGCCCCAGGGACAGCTTCACCCTGGCCAGTGGCCAGCAGGTCACCTTTGTGGACTACTACAGGTAGTGCTGGACTAGAGGGAAGGTCGTGGAGATGATCCCAGGGCTGGAGGAGCTCTGCTCTGGGGACAGGCTGGGAGAGTTGGGGGGTTGAGCCTGGAGAAGAGAAGGCTCCAGGGAGACCTTAGAGCAGCTTCCAGTGCCTGAAGGGGCTCCAGGAAAGCTGGGGAGGGACTGGAGACAAGGGCAGGGAGGGATGGGATGAGGGGGATGGATGAAAACTGGGAGAGGGAGATGGAGGTTGGAGATGAGGAAGGAATTCTTTGGTGTGAGGGTGGTGAGAGCCTGGCCCAGGTTGCCCAGGGGAGCTGTGGCTGCCCCATCCCTGGAAGTGTTGAAGGGCAGGTTGGATGGGGCTTGGAGCAGCCTGGGCTGGTGGGAGGGGGTCCTGCCCATGCAGAGGGGGTGGATCTGGATGATCCTTCAGGTCCCTTCCCACCCAACCCATTCCATCATTCTATGGAGCATCCCTTGGGATGAGATGTGTCCATGGGGAAGGGTTTGCCACCCAGCTCTCCCCTGAGATGGGTGAGCAGGCGCAGGAATGTCTCACCTGGTGCCACCTCCCTGCTGTTTTTCCCAGCAAAACCTACGGGATCACCATCAGGGAGCTGGACCAGCCTCTGCTCATCCACAGACCCAAGGAGAAACAGATACTGGGCAAGAGGGTGAGCCTGGAACCGAGACCTGGGGAGGGGAAATCAGAGACCTGGGGTATTTCCTCATCTCCTCCAGACCCTTGTCCTGCCTTGCACGGGGGCTGCAGCCCCCCCAAGGTGCTGACATTCCCTGTCCCCTCCCTGCAGCAGCCCCTGGAGATCGTGCTGCTGGTGCCAGAACTCACCTTCATGACTGGGCTCCCTGATGCCAAGAAGGACAATCGCATGGTGAAGGTCAGAGCACCTTGGCACCTGATGCTCCCTGCTCACCTCAATCCAGCTCTCAGGCTGGAGAGCTGAGCCCTAAATCCCTCCTTGGGGGGGGGCGTGTGTGTGGGGGGGGTGGGAGGGTTCCCCAACTCCCCCCTTCTTCCCTGTGCAGGATGTGATGAGGGGGATGCTGCAGAGCCCTCGGCAGCACTACACACGTCTCATCAACCTCCTGCACAGGATCAAGGACAAACCAGAGGCCTCTCAGGAGCTGCTGCGCTGGGGGCTCTGCCTGCACCCCGATATCCACAGGGTGAGGCCTTTTTTGGGGTGATCTCCCAGTTGTTTCCCCTCTGGCAGCAGCACCAGAGCTGCTGTGGCTTTGTCCTCTGTCCAGACCCAGGGTCGAATCCTGCCCGGGGAGAGGATCAACATGAGGCACAGCTCCTTCATGCCTGCTGAGGACCTGAACTGGAGCAAGGAGGTGACACGAGAAGCCTCCATCTCAGTGGTGAGGCCAGGGAACAACATTCCCCTTGTTTGGGAACTGGGATGGGTTTCCTGCCATCCTGGCTGCCCCATTTCTGCCTGAGCTGCTTCCAGCTAAAACCTTTCTCTGTTTATATTGGATCTGTGCTCCAGCCTGTTTTTCCTAAGGAGGTTGGAGGGACGTGGCTTTGCCTTCTGCTTCCCAACCTCCTCTTGGAATGGTTGGAGCCTCCCAGACTGATGTTCTTGACCCTTGATGGGCTCCTCTTCCTCTCTCCCAAATTCCTGGGAGCCTCCTGATTCCGTTCCCAACCCCTTGTTTTCTTTCCTAGGTTCACATGAATTACTGGTTGCTGGTCTATCCAAAACGCCTGCAGGACCTGGCCAGGGACTTGGTGTCTGCCCTGGAGAGTGTCTGTGGCCCCATGGGAATGCAGATCAGCCGACCTGCCTTTGTGGAGCTGAGGGATGACCGGATCGAGACCTACGCCAAGACCATCCGAGGTGTTCTGAACAGTGAGGTGAGGGGGGGGGACATCTTAGAGCAGCTTCCAGTGCCTGAAGGGGCTCCAGGAAAGCTGGGGAGGGACTTGGGACAAGGGCAGGGAGGGATGGGATGAGGGGGATGGATGAAAAGTGGGAGAGGGAGCTGGAGGTTGGAGATGAGGAGGGAATTCTTTGGTGTGAGGGTGGTGAGAGCCTGGCCCAGGTTGCCCAGGGAAGCTGTGGCTGCCCCATCCCTGGGGGTGTTGAAGGGCAGGTTGGATGGGGCTTGGAGCAGCCTGGGCTGCTGGGAGGTGTCCCTGCCCATGCAGGGGGTTGGAGCTGGATGAGCTTTCAGCTCCCTTCCTACCCAAACTATTCCATGATTCTATGACAGCGTGAGGGTGATGTATCTGCTGGGGTGGGCTGGGCAGCCCCTGGGTCTTCTCAGATGCTCTTGCATGCAGTGCTGGATCCACTGCTGGATCCAGTCCTGCTCCCACTGCTGGATCCCCTCCTGATCCCACTGCCCCCCTGACTCTCCTCCCCCACAGGACAAGGTCCAGCTGCTCCTCTGCATCGTCGCCACCAGCCGGGAGGACATGTACGGGGCCATCAAGAAGCTGTGCTGTGTGCAGGCCCCAGTGCCCTCCCAGGTGGGCTGGGGGAGGAGGTGACCACTGGCACAGGGAATTCCCAGTCACTTCCAGCCTCACTGCTCCCTGGTTTTGGTTTTTCCTCCCCCCCTCCCTGCAGGTGATCAATGCACAGACCCTGTCCTGCCAGCCGGGCAGGCTGAGGAGCGTGGCTCAGAAAGTCCTGCTGCAGATGAACTGCAAGATGGGTGGAGAGCTCTGGGGGGTTGACATCCCACTGGTAAGGCAGGAGGAAAGAAAAAAACCAACCCCTCAGCACACATGTGATGAGTTTGCACGTTCTGGGGCATCAACTGGTGTGCTCAGAGGCTTCCCTGTGGGGACTGGGGGTTGAACCAGCTGCGGGGTTTGGGTTGGCATCTCCATTTTGTGCCTGGAACAACCCTTAGGGTGCAGGCAGGGCATCCTGGAGGTGTCTGACTTCTCCCTAACTCCCACCTACCTCTTTTCAACCCCCCCAGAAACAGCTGATGGTCATTGGCATGGATGTCTACCACGGGCCCAGCAGAGGGGTACGCTCTGTCATCGGCTTCGTGGCCAGCATGAACCAGTAGGTGGTGGCCCAGCGTGGAGGGGGGAAGACTTTTCTCTACCCTGGGTGTGTGTCTGGGGATCCCCCTTTCCCTGGAGAGGTGTGAAGCTGCTGCCTTTCCCATCTAAGGTTTGCTTGGAAGAGTTTGAACTGAAAAGTAAAATTTGTAGAATCATGGGATGGTTTGGGTGGGAAGGGACCTGAGAGCTCATCCAGATCCAGCCCCCTGCATGGGCAGGGACACCTCCCACCAGCCCAGGCTGCTCCAAGCCCCATCCAACCTGCCCTTCAACACCCCCAGGGATGGGGCAGCCACAGCTTCCCTGCCCAACCTGGGCCAGGCTCTCACCACCCTCACACCAAAGAATTCCCTCCTCATCTCCAACCTCCATCTCCCTCTCCCAGTTTTCATCCATCCCCCCTTGTTCTCTCCCTCCCTGCCCTTGTCCCAAGTCCCTCTCCAGCTTTCCTGGAGCCCCTTCAGGCACTGGAAGCTGCTCTAAGGTCTTCCTGGAGCCTTCTCTTCTCCAGGCTGAACACCCCAACTCTCCAAATGTGTCAAACTACTAAAAGAAAATTGGTTCTGGCTCAAACCTGGACAACTGGGAATCACTGGCCTCTGGTGGCCCTTGGCAAGCTGGGAATTCCTGGGCAAGCACTGAGCTGGGGTTGGATTTGGGCTGGTGAGGAGACTGCCCTGATGTTTGTCCCCTCTCTGTCCCCAGTGTCCTCACCAAGTGGTATTCCAGGGTGGTTTTCCAGCTGCCCCACCAGGAAATTGCTGACAGCCTGAGGCTCTGCCTGATCGATGCTCTCCAGCACTTCCACCAGGTGAGCCACAACCCCCAGCTAACCCCAAACCACCCCCCTGGGGTTTAATCTCTCCTTAAAACAAGGGAGACCCCTCCCCAAACCTGTCATCCTGTGGGAGCAAACAGCCCTGGCAGCCTTTGGACTGGATGCAGCACCCGGGGAGGCTCTTCCTTATCTTAGGAATGTGTGAACCTGCCTCAGGGGTGAGTTTTACAGTGGAGGAAGCACCAAGTGACACTTCTGCTGGTATCAGCAGTGAACTGCTGAGCCTTGTCCTCTCCTCCCAGGTCCCCAGGGTGGGAAAAGTAGCAGAAAAGTGATGTGTGACAGGTTGGGATCATAAACCACCTTTGGGATTATCCCATCCCTCTGTGGGTGCTGGGAAACTGGGAGTTTGATGGTCAGCAAATACTTGCCCGTGGGCAGGATTCGTGTTCAATGCTGCTTCTGTCTGCTCTGCCACCCCCTCTGGAACCTGCTTTGAAAGGTGTTTCCTGGGGCTGGGGATAGGTTGGGGCTTTCTGCAGATCTGGAGGGTGGTGGGGTGAACATCAGAAGGACATGGTGCTCCTGAAGAAAGCCCAGAGGAGGCCATGGAGATGATGGGAGGGCTGGGGCAGCTCCGCTGTGGGGACAGGCTGGGAGAGTTGGGGTGTTCAGCCTGGAGAAGAGAAGGCTCCAGGGAGACCTTAGAGCGGCTTCCAGTGCCTGAAGGGGCTCCAGGAAAGCTGGGGAGGGGCTTGGGACAAGGGCAGGGAGGGATGGGATGCGGGGGAGGGATGAAAAGTGGGAGAGGGAGATGGAGGTTGGAGCTGAGGAGGGAATTCTTTGGTGTGAGGGTGGTGAGAGCCTGGCCCAGGTTGCCCAGGGAAGCTGTGGCTGCCCCATCCCTGGGGGTGTTGAAGGGCAGGTTGGATGGGGCTTGGAGCAGCCTGGGCTGCTGGGAGGTGTCCCTGCCCATGCAGGGGGTTGGATCTGGATGAGCTTTCAGGTCCCTTCCCACCCAAACCATTCCATGATTCTGCCCTCAGAAAGGCTGAGAGGCAGGGGGGCGATGAGTTGAATTCCCAGCCTGAATAACCAACCCTACAGACCTGCTTGGCCATCCTTTGCCTCCTCTCCCCTGCCACCCAGTCTGTGAGGACCAAACCCAAGGATATCTCCCAACTCCTCCTCCTCCCCCAGGTCAACCACTACTTGCCCAGGAAGATCGTGGTGTACCGGGACGGCGTGTCGGACGGGCAGCTGGACACTGTGCTCAAGTATGAGATCCCCCAGATGCAAAAGTGCTTCGACACCTTTGAGAACTACCAGCCCAGCCTGGTGGTGATGGTGGTGCAGAAACAGATCAGCACCAACTTCTACACCCTCAGCCCTGAGCAGTTCACATCCCCTCCCCCTGGAACTGTCGTCGACCACACGGTCACCAGCACCGACTGGTGAGTGGCAGAAACTTGGGGTGCAGAGAACCTGGGGTGGAAAGAAACTGGTCTATCTAAAAGCTGGGGGGCAAAAAAATCTGTTGTACATGAAACCTGGGGTGCAAAAAGTCTGGTGTACCTAAAAGCTGGGGTGCAAGAAGCCTGGGGTAGGTGAAACCTGGGGTGCAGAGAACCTGGGGTGGGATAACCTGGTGTAGATGAAAGCTGGGGTGCAGAGAACCTGATGTAAATAAAATTTGGGGTGCAGAGAACCTGGGGTGGGACAAGCTGGTGTAGATAAAAGCTGGGGTGCCAAAACCCTGGTGTAGATGAAACTTGGGGTGCAGAAAAACCTGGTGTAGATGAAACCTGGGGTGCAGAGAACCTGGGGTGGAAAAAAACTGGGATGCCAAAAAAATCCTGGGGTGCAAAAGGACTTGTACAAAATACTTGGGGTAGAAAAAAACACCTGGGGTGCCAAAGAACCTGGTGCATCTAAAACCTGGGGTAGAAAAAAAATGGTGTAGATGAAAGCTGGGGTGCAGAGAACCTGCTGTAGGTGAAACCTGGGGTGCAGAAAATTTCCTGAGGTGCAGAAGAACTTTTGTACAAAAGAGCTGGGATGCATAAAACCTGGGGTGGAAAAAACCCACCTGGGGTGGCAAAAGCTTGACATACATAAAAGCTGGGGTGCAGAAACACCCCTGATGTACCCAAAACCTGGGGTGCAGGAGAACCTGGGGTGCAACATGTTGTGGGTAAAACTCGGGGGGGTGGGGAGGGGAGGGCAGAACCACCTGGTGCAGGTCAAACCTGGTGGTGTAGGTTGGTTACTCTTGGGGTAGGTTAGGTCAGCTGGGGTAGGTTGGTTACCCCTGGGGTAGGTTGGTCACCCCTGTCCTACCCAAGCCCCCCCTTTTTCCTTTTCCTGCCCCCCCCCAGGCAGGATTTCTTCCTGCTGGCCCATCACACCCGGCAGGGCTGCAGTGTCCCCACCCGCTACATCTGCCTGCTCAACACAGCCAACCTGAGCTGGGAACACCTCCAGAGGTAAGGAACACCTTCCCACAGCCCTTCCCAACAGCCTGCAGGGGTTCCAACAACCGATTTTGGGGGGTTTTGATGGGAAAAGAGGCCCCTGGAATTGTTGGGGGGTGGTAGCGGGTTGGGTGTGGTATTGGGAGAGGTTTGGGGTCTGTGGTGTCTCCTCCTTGGACAAGAGGTGATTGCAAAGGTGAGGAGGGAAAACTGGGGTCACCCAGTGGTGGTGGGACAAGAGGAGCTGCTGAGGGTTCACTTAATTAATGCAATTAGCCACTCACCACAGAGCCTGACCTTGAACTCCTGCCATGGGGAGGTAAAAACAGCCCAACCAGCTGCCAGGATCCGGCCTTGGGAAGGAGGCAGGAAAGCAGGGATCACTCATCCCTGTCCCTTCTCCTTGTCCCCAGGTTGACTTTCAAGCTCTGTCACCTCTACTGGAACTGGCCAGGCACTGTCAGAGTCCCTGCTCCCTGCAAATATGCCCACAAGCTGGCAAAACCTGGCAGGACAAATCCTGCACCACGAGCCCAGCAGCCAACTCTGTGACAAGCTCTTCTTCCTATAACCAGGAAAAACACCAACAAGGGGAGGGGAGGGGAAGGAAGAAAAGCTCCATTTGGGATTCAGACCCCCCCCCCTCAAACCACCTCCCTTCAGGGATTTTTCTCCCCTTGATTCTGTTGGGTTTGGGTTTTATTTCTTCCTTCCCACTGTTGCTGGGGTTGGTTTCTGGTGTTGCTTTCAAGGCTGCTCTTGGGGTTCACCTCCACGAGGAGGAACCCAGAGTTGGACAAATCCCACTGCAAAAAGAGGGTTTGAAATAAATGAGGCCCCCAAAGCTCCTTTCAGCACAGGCTGTTCCTCATCCCTGCAGGTGCTGGAGCCCCTAAAAACACCCTGACAATTTGGGGTGTTTCTCCCCCTCCTCCCTCTTGGCAGTGGTTTAAAATTGGTGTTTTCAGCTCCTGTTGAACAAACCCTGTTCCAGTTCAGGAGGTTGTCACATGGTTTGAAAAGCCACTGGTTTTTCAAGGAGAAGGCTTTATTATTATTAATAATAATTATTATTAATTATTAATTATTGATTTGGGCTGAATTATTCACTTGGACTGATCAGTTCAGTTGATCTGCTCTGAGGGAGCAGGTCAAGATCCCAAGGTGGGGGGGGGGATGAAAAATCCTCCTGGTTTGAGTTTTTCCACCATTTCAACTGTTTCTTTGAGATGTTTTGAGTTGGAAACTGGTGG